GTTGTCAAGAATTTTTGGCGCATAGGGTGGGTGAAGAGGCCCTAAGTTACTATTCTCGGTAGTTTCATCTCTTTCATCAGTAGAATTCATTAGGGGCGCTGCGCCTGTTTCAATTGTACCTGAAGGGACACTAGACTCGCTTTCCAGCATGTGTAGCTCCCCACCAATAGACCTGAGCACCCCGTAAGATAGGTAGGAGTGTATACTATACATTACTCCTAACTGTTGAAAGCGGCAAGATCCTTAAATAATAATAATAATAATAATAATAATGATAATAATAATAATAATAATAATAATAATAATAATCAGGGTCACCAACCCGTACATACGGAGGTCCCCTAACAGACCTCCGTACATACGGGCGTTCGGGGTCCCGGACGGGGTCCGAACCCGACGGCATTTGGCCCCCGCCAAAAATTATTTCGGGGCCTAAGAGTTATTATTTCGTTCTGAATTTTGTTAAGTAAGTTCTCTATGACGTGAGGTACGTGCCTGTAAATTTTCAAGTCATTTGGCTGAGCCAAATAAAAATTAAAAATCGCTAAAGATGGCGGTGTCAAAACGTGCTCGCCCACGTAATTTTTCACTTTTCACTTTTTGTTTTAACTTTAGTTCGGGGTCTAGACAATTTAATTATTTTTTTTAACTTTTTGAATGGGTTTTATATTATGTGAAGTACGCATCTGTAAATTTTCAGGGCATTTAGCTTGGCCAAAACAAAATGAAAAATCGCCAAAGATGGCGGTGTCGAAAACATGCTCGCGCACTCACTAAATTTAATTCTCTTTTTATTTTTATTTATTTTTCTTATCAGTATTTGTTTTCCATATTTTATTTTTATTTCAAATTTGGTAAGGAATTCGGATGTAATGCTCAGGCAAATCTTGTTTAATTGATTTTTCTCAATAACATATCCTTTTTTCAGATTTTTTTGATGACTTGTTTTTTTTTTTTTTTTTTTTTTTTGGGTGCGTGTTGGCCCGAACGGCCGAACGCATCCCCAAGGGGTCCCATACGTTCGGGCGTTCGGCACGTACCGAACGCCGGTTACCCTGATAATAATAATATATTATTATTCTTATTATTATTATTAAAAAAAAAAAGAGTAACCCACCGTTGCACACTCTAGATCGCTGTAGAGTGCCCGACTGTAACGGTGGTTTTTTCAAGTGTGGTCGCCAGTACCCTTGATGCCGCCTTGAAAATCACGAGTAGGCCTCGTGTCTGGGCCCACAACCACCTGTACCGTGACAACACAAAGCTTGTGTCTTCTTCTTCTTCTCCTTCTTCTGTTTTTTTTTTTTTTTTTTTTTTTTAATTGCTCCAATCTATTCGTGGGGAGCAGCACGTGATGGGAACAGGGCCCAGTGTCCCTTATAATGCAAATACATTGATGATTGATGATCATTGATGATAAAAAAATTGGGATGATTGAGGATCATTTAGGATGATTTAGGATGATTCAGGGTGATAGAGTGGATGATTGAGGTCATGAAATAGAGATAGATGATGATCAATCAGAATGATTGTCTACTCAGCACTCAAATACTATCCTATCCCCAATTTCCTGTATTCATTCCAACCAACCAATCACAACTAAGGCTGTGCTGTGCACCAATCAGGCCTCTTCCCCGTCTCACACCCCAATCTGGCTCGGTTACAGGGCAGGGCTACCCACCCCAGCTCTGACCATGGTCGGCCAGTTGCAGCCATTAGTCAAGTTCACAGATTGCCTTCCTTCTCTGTTACTAAAAAAAGAAAACAAAAAAAAAGCGGAAACAACGCAGGAGTCATAAAAATGAGTTATAATTGCACTATGGGCCAATATACAGTTTCAAATTGCAGTTCGGGTAATGTATACAACCCAGCTTTCTGGCCAGGTAGGGTGCCTGAAGCACAATTGCAACCTGCATCTTGCCACATAGTGCCATTATATCTCGTTTTTGTGACTCTACTGCAAGAAAAGTTCCTGTGGTCTATTTCTAGAGTTGGGTCGTCTAGAGTTAGGGCATACGCACACCAGTGGTCTTTTTCGCAAAATCACAAAATGTGCTACTCTATTGCAGTCACACAAGGCCCCCTGCCCCCAGCAAAATCGCAAATTGTGTAGTATATGTCAGCGGCCTGCCGGGCGTTTGCATTTGCTTTTCGGGACTAAAAAAACAGACAAACCTCTGTGTGCAAGAAAACACCATTGCTTTGATTTTTTTTTGTATGAAACATAATTGCTTGCGTACTACAGTCCAAAAAAAATGGTCGTCACCATCTGCTATCAGCTGTGTGACCATGCAGATGCAGATCGAGCAATTTTCAGTGCCATTCAAAAGGGCCACCGTGTGTGAATATGACGCACGCCTGATTGACAAAATCGTGGAAGCGAAATTGCAGATTTTGCAATTTCGCTCACTGTGTGAGAGTAAGATGACACCTTATTTGGGGCCTGGCTCCACTACTCTAGACTATAGACTTTTCGTGAGTGACGCCTCCTTCCACTTACTCAAGACACCAACTCAGGAAAACACCCTTCGATAGCTGTCAGAAAGCACTCTCAAGGGCACTCAAGAAGCATCTAGAGTGGGCTGCCTGCAACACTTTGGATTTCTTGCGTCTTCCTTCCTACCCCCTGTGCTGCTTTTCTTTTTCACGAGTGTGCCTGGTGTCCCTTTTGTCAGGACGGGCTGGCGCTGTCTCGTAGCGCACTAGAAACGAAAGAAAAACGCTCACGAAATTTGGGAGTGCTTCGAGAGTGTGGCCATATAAAGTAACTGGAGTGAAGCTTTTTCTTTTGAGAGGTCTGACAGGTCTAGAAGCACTCACGACGTTTTTTGCCAGTCTAGACTAGTGGAGTGAGGCCCTTGCTCTACTCTGGACTATCACCACTCTGGAGTCTAGATCAACTCTAGAAACATTTTTTGGAGTCTAGAGTAGTGGAGCTAGACCCAATTTGTATCCAAACTCCTTTGCCCGTCTTTTGCCGCCGTCCAGAAAGGACAAAGTCACGACCCTAACACTTTGCACTCAGGACAAGTGCGCCCAGTCACACGGGAGAGGACCAAACAAAAAGATGGAATTTGTTTTCTTTTTTTTTTCACACCAGTATAATGCCTGCGCCTTCGCTACAACATAAATGTTTCTGCTTGCACTTCCAGTTGTTTGGCAGGCTGTCTTTGTCTACGATTTTCTTCAATAGCAAGCCCTCAGGACATGCTGACACTAGGACTTTCTTAGTTATTTCGGGACTGAAGTGTGGCCAGATGCATCCAGGTGGGGCAGTAAAGCGGTGAAATACATTTAGGAGATTGCTAATTGCGAGTAGCCCCGCAGGGCGTGAGTATGCCCTCACTGACAAGGTCTTGTTGCAGTGGATCCCGAGCTGTTGCAAAACATGCCCCTCTCTCTCTCTCTCTCTCTCTCTCTCTCTCTCTCTCTCTCTCTCTCTCTCTCTCTCTCCTGTTGCTGCCCACTACCCCACCTAGTCACTCTGCCGCCCTCTCTCTCTCTCTCTCTCTCTCTCTCTCTCTCTCTCTCTCTCTCTCTCTCTCTCTCTCTCTCTCGCCTCCCACCCCCCCCTCCTTCCCTCCCTACCTCCCTCCCGCTCCCTGGCACTGCCCCCGCGGGGCCTCGGCCCCGTGTAGTGCCTGAAAACTACACGGTGTGACAGCGGAGAGCGGGAAACGTACATCCGCAATATTTTCTGTGCCATGGCGCGGTGCCATGTGTCACGGTAGTCCCATCATTGTAAAAATTGTGCAGCAAGTGAGGGTGCGGCGGATCTTCACAGGAGGCCATATAGAGTGCTGCCTTTGATCTCCGCAGGCCAAAGAAAGGGCCGGCCCATGGCCCATGGAAAAACAAAAATCCCCACACTTGGCCCAGAGGCATTTCCTGAGCGGTGATTCGAACCCCAAGTAGGCGAGAAACAGACTGTAAGTCTCTGAAAAAAATAAATAAAAAACATGAGCTTTTCTGCAACCGCGGATTCGAACTCTCTCCTTTGTGATCCCTGCACTTTAGGCCTCTCTGCACTACTCTCCACATGCAGAGAAGACAAAAAAGAAGGCAATGTATCTGTTCATGTTCCAGCCGAAGAGTCAGTATCTTTTTGCACATTCGGA